TATTGTCAGTGAGTTTGAAATGTCCCATACCTGATATTATCAGTGAGTTTGAAATATTCCACACCTGATATTGTCACTGAGTTTGAAGTGTCCCAGCCCTTGATATTGTCACTGAGTTTGAAGTGTCCCACACCTGATACTGTCAATGAGTTTGAAATGTCCCACACCTGATATTGTCACTGAGTTTGAAGTGTCCCAGCCCCTGATATTGTCGGTGAGTTTGAAAGTGGAGGAGGGAAGCAGAGCCCATGGATGGATGGGCTGTGATCCCCTGTGCCAGGGAGCAGGGACTGCTCGGCAGCTCCTGTCCCCCCGCAGCCACAGCACAGAAGGGACACTGCTGTCCCTGCTCTGCAGAAACAAACCCAGGGCTGCCCAGCCACAGCTTCCTCACCAGCCCTGAAGCCCATTTCAGTTAAAGGCAGGGAGAAAAGGACAGAGGCTGCAGATGGAGGTGGCTGATAACGTCTCACAGCAAAACCCTGCAGTGACGGGCAGCCTTGCTGGCCTGTCCTGAGGGCTGGGGAATGAAGGATCATCCTTGTCCTGCCACCAGTGAGATGGGCACAGACATTTAAAAAAGCATCAAGGTCTCTTTGACAGGAAAAATACCGAGGGAATAAAAGGGAAGAATATTCCATGTTTGTGGGTGGTTGCACATCAAGGTTATGCATTTTTTACAGAGGGGAAAAAAGTATAAAATATGCAGCTTTCACCACATCACTAAAAACCTGAGTGCAATTATTGTGGGGAAGTGTTGTGTCCAGGACACATGCCCAGGTGGGAACACATGTCCCACAGCAGGACAGCTCTGAGGGGCCACCTCCCTTCTGGGACAACCTCTGTCATTGTCACACCTTGCACAGGCAAATGGTCCAGGGAAAAACAGGCAGCAGCATCTCCTTGTTGGAGACCCTGCCACCAAATGCCACCTTCCCAAGGATCTGTCCTGCCTGGGAATTCAGATTGAAGCCCTGCCCGTGAATTCACCCTAATTTCAGAAATTTTTGGTGCTGTCATTGCCCCTGGGTGAATCCAGAGAACACCAGAGCATCCCACAATGCTGCAGCTCCTTCCAGCAGCTCTTGCTGGAGGGTACAAACCTCTCAATTCCAAATCCAGGAATGAAAGAGCTCCTGGAAATGATTCCTGCTGGGGGCAGAGCAGCTGTGCCTGTGACATAAAAAGGCAGAAAGCCACGGTGTGGGCACTGGGATGGATTCATCCCTAGAGCATTCAGATCCTTCAGGTTCACACATAAAATGCATAAATCCAGTAGGCAAGGCCAGATCCCACCTGCTCTTTCCCTTCATTTTCTCCCCCTTATTAAAAGGGTAAAAACCCAGCACAGGATGCTCAGCTGATCAAACCCATCAGAAGATCCAAGCTGCAAAGCCTGAAAGCTACAAAATTCAAACACAAAATTCAGGTCTTCTCTCCCCAGAGAATTCCTTCACCCCCAAA